ATTGATGATACCCGGCAAAGTTCTAAGCCCGCAGGTCCTTGTTCGAATTCCACCCTGGAGCTCTAGCAATGTTCGAGTCGGATAAACTACCACCTCCATTTTCGACACTTAATAGGGGATCAGATTCATTTTCTTTAGCCTTCAATAATGTAGAAAAATAAAAATAATAAACTAACACATCAATTTCCTCATAATGTATAATATAATGATGGCAATCATTTTTCAAAGAAGTAATACTTTTCATGATTTCCAAATGGTCACGGCTGAGGTCATACTACTCAAATGCAGTTTCATACTTTTAAGGTAAAGAAATAAATACTTTTTCAGAATTTTATGTAAATCGCTTTCAAGGCAAAAAATCGTACTTTCAAAGTTGACTACAAAAAATAACCTGAGATAACTGTGCTGCTTCTGCATTGGTCTTTTGCTGGCTCTCGATCGTGCAATAATACGAATATAGCACCATTCCTACTATAGCAATCAGGATGCCCAGAATGTTCCGCCAACTAAAAGGGTCTTGAAGAAGAACATAACCGAAGGCAAGCACAAGGCATGTTTTCAAATGCCCTAAGACCTGATACGTGACTGGCGAAGTCTTTCCAATCACAAGAAAGGTACTGAAGTTTACAGAAACTGATATCAAACATGATAAGACAATAAATGCCTGCAAGGAGAAAAACGTAAATTGTCAGGCACCCATATTATGAACCAGCAGCAGGAAAGAGTTTTTTCGGTACTCACCAGTACTTTCGGGGTATAATTGAACGCAAATACATTCAAGTTTGTGAGAAGTCCATCTACAAACGGTCCAGTTAGAAACAGAGTGATTGCCTGATAGGGGCATGATTGGTACAAAAGTTGTGTAGAAGAAACTTTGAACTTTTTCTGAATGGTGTTTGTCATCTGATCGTAACCTAAGTTAAGAAAGATCCAGAAACTACTTACAGGTTCAATAAAACAATTAAAAAATGAATATATCAGCAAGTCAAATGAAATGTAGCCTTTTTGTCCCGGAATTTTTTACATTTCTTTGAGATGGTCAAAGAATTTTATATATAAATGGAAGCATGATTGTTTTGATTGCACGTGAAAGGGAATCTAAGCGCAATAAAATAACCGAGGATACAATTTGTGCAATACAAGTCGTAACAACTGCAAGAAGAGACAAGACGGAACCCAGGACATTGAGCTGCAGATCTGTCACAGTCGCAATTCCAACACCAAGGAGAAGAACACCAAGCGATGCCTGGACGTTCCTACTGAAAATGGCGGTAAAGAATGTATTAACAGAAAAAACAAAAATTTCATACTTTAACACGTCGATATGTGATCAAAGGAAATATCAGTTCATGAAATGGAAGAGGCATCGGAGATATACTAGAATAATTCCATGTTGAACCATGTATACTCCCACATCAAAATTTAATATATTTCGAAAAGAACGAAAAGTAATATATGTGTGTATGGATGTGTACCGTTTGTGCTATACTTAGGGTTTTCACATGTGACATCATATAATCAACATCATTAGCATAAAATTTCAATAGTCCGTTCAATTCAGTAGATGTGCAATGGTGGCAGTTTCCAGATAGGATACCATACGGTTGAACAACTAGCATTATGTATGTATACCTTGTAGACGGAACTGCAGAAGTAAATTGTGAGGCTTCCAAGTTCCAACTAAAGTAAAAATCACTACTTTTGTTCCAAATCTTAGGAAACAGGAACCAAAATTTTTTTATTAGTAAATAGGACCAAAAATTGAATTGCAAATTATAGAAGACGCTTATTCTTGCCAGTATGACAAATATTGGAAGTAACATTAATTGTGTCACATAGATGGAAAAACAAAACATTCATGATATCTGGAATTATTACTGATACAGAGATCTGACCTGAATATTTTTCGGAAGAACAGAGTCTCTAAAAGAACAGTGCATGGTATAATTGCCAATTTTGTCATCTGAGAAGCATAAATCAATAAGAGATGAACAGATGAAAAATTTAAGAGTCATGAAATAATGATAAAATGACGGAGTAGGAATGATAATACTAAGAAATGAAATGGGTGAAAGAAAGAATAACAAGAATACAACATTGACACAACATAAATGTCAACTTTATATACCATTAAATACAACAGATTATGTTCAAAGTAATTAAGAACTGGCAACGACAATATCCAGTGATAGTACTTCAGTTAGAAATCAAAATACGATGGTCTAAGATCTCTCTAGACCTTAGGCACTACCAAGTCATATTGGTTGCCGCTGAGTTATATTAACCACTCCATTTCACAGCCTAGACCGCATGACCAGGTTCTCAATACTTCAGTTAGAAGTCAAAATACAATGTTCCAAGATCTCTCTAGACCTTAGGTACTACTAAGTCATATTGGTTGCCGCTGAGTTATATTAACCACTCCACTTCACTCAATTGCCTAGACCGCATGACCAGGTTCTCAGTTTCTCACCTCTACAATTACATGTGATTCTCATGACTGGAAACCCTAGATTATTTATACTAAGGGAACTAAAAAATGGAACAACCTTCACATGATGCGGCACATTGTACACTAAATTAAATTTATTGCTTGCTAATTGCAACTACGTGGAAAACTAACCTTATAAGGTGATTGAGTTTTCTTTGATAAGGCATTAAGAGGTATTCGGATGACGAATTACATATAAAAAAAAAAAAACATAACGAAAGTAAATATGATTAAGTAAGCAAAAGTGACTAACCTGATAGAAACCAACAGAGTTGAAACCCAGGCTCAGATTTAGAAGTCCAATTGATGTCCCATTCAAAATCCCAAATCCCATGACAGCTCTAGGATCAAAAGGCTTGTGCTCAAACCATTTCATCCATAGAGCAATATGAAGAGAACAGAATGTAACAAGGAGATGCCAGCTAGTCAGAGTAGTAGCTGAGGAAGAAAAATAGGGTCAAAAGTGTAACTTAACCAAGCTAAGTCTAGAAAGAGTAACTGCTGCGAGAAACGACAAATCATACGGTAACTTCCAATAAAGGCAGGCTTTGTAATATTCAATGAGGAAAATAATGAAAAACGGAATTGTCCTTGGAGATCGATAAACAGATTAAAAAGGAAATTGCTACCATTTAATTAGAAAATGGACCTCATTTTCCATGCCCGCATAGTTTAAACACATTCATTCACACCTAAACTATGCAAATATTTCCTAGCAAATATTATGGCTCCATTTAAGAAAATCTTCATTCTTGAAAACATAATGCCCTAATCAAATCAATCGAATAAAGAAAATGAAGAATGTCACACCAGAAACATCATAAATGCAAATAGATTTCTCTTGTCAAAGTGTCAATTGATTCTACAAGTAATACAAACAAGAGAAAAGAAAAAAGAAAAATGATGTTTATGGTAATTTTCACGATACCACTCGCCCACTATACGATTCGCATGCTACCATGAATTGAACAGCAAAAAAAGTTCAAGTAGAATCATTATGAAAAAAGGAAAAGCCACAGAAAGAAACAAAAATACAGCATAGCGTGAAACTAAAAAATATTATTAATATTATTGCTTTACTCATCAAAATCTTTTATTCATGATGATTGGAACACATAAAATGTCTCACCAAACGTGAAGCCAAGAGTGCTGATCAGTGCCTTGTTGCAGATCACGATTGACACCGACGAAACCACCGAAAGACTCAACGCTCCAATCGTCCCCAGCTGATACTGCTTGCCCTCGCTCATCTTGAGTCGCCTCTCACGATCCAATGTCTCAATATCTATAATCGAAAAACACAATTTTCAATGAAAATCACGCTCCGAAACTATGTACATGACCCATATGCGCAAACGAAGCATTAACATCTCCTTACCTCATTCCACCTTTTTACACAAACCGCAAGCAAATCAACAAATGCAGCTTCACTGCGAAGACATAAAACAAATACATCAATCTGCGCACTTAATCTCAAGGACACCACAAACACCACATAAACGAAATCACTAAAACGAAGAAAAAAATTGGAAATTTAAACCCTAGATCTGCCCTGTTTCACCAAATATCCATGAAATCAAACCCGCAACAAAGCGTATCACTGTGTGCTGTTAATGGTTATCCGTGCATGATGGAATATGCACACCATTTACCTGACCCTGAGAAAGGTTTTTCCAGATTACTGAAATCGATTAAGCAATTTAGGAAAAAAGCATCTGAAATCTGATCAAGCTTTTCTCACTGTGAGCAGGTGATGATTTAAAATGTGAACGTGTGTGAGAAGCAGAAAATGGAAAAATATATTTTAATTGATTTTTTCGTAATTTGGAAAGAAGATGCAATTAATTTAATTTAATACTGCAAATATGTGCAAATTTGTACTTGAAGTAATAACATTAATGTCAGCAAATGATTTGACGTTGGGTGAGCCGGCCAAGCATGTGAGCTGGGGCCTGGCTAGGGAACAAATCGAGCAATATTAGGGTCTAACTGCATTTTGGAGAGGATTTTTTGTCATTAAGAACGAAATGTAATTTGGGAATTCCTAATTAATTTAATATCAAGATGATACTCCATAAAATAAAAGTAGTTAGGATATGATGGAGAATAGTAAATATTAATAGATTGATAGTTTATCATTTTGTCTATGTTGTGTTAGTTTTTGTCTTCATGTGGTTCTTTGAACATCATGTTTTGGTCTTTGTGTTGCTTCTTCTGTGTTGTTTAAGGCTTTGCTTCGACCAATATTCAGTGTATTGTGGTCTTTCTGTTGGTTATTTTGTGTTGTTTAAGGTTTTGCTTCGACTAATATTCTTGATGTTGTTGGTTGGAAATCAAAAAATTAGTCAGACTTACGTCTGGTGCGAGTTTTTCTTTTTGTTTCCTTTTAGTTGTTGTGTTTTAGTTTTATGAGGTAATTGGTTTTGTAGAGTTTCTTCATCTGAATAATAGCATCCTCTCATTCAATTTAGGCTTGTTTAATTTGTTTAATCTATAGGTTATAATATNAAAAAAAAAAAAAAAAAAAAAAAGAAAGAAAGAAAGGATAGAGTCTCCTTTTTTCTTGTTATACAAATTAGGTCAAGTTCAAGTAAGCGAAACTGAGTATGGATGTCCACATGTTACTACGTACTTTCCCGGGGCCACACGGAGCCGACTACTCGGTCAATTGACGGTGCAGATATAGAATTTGGAATCATGAGAGTGTATGAAAGCAATTTTTACTATTTGAAAATCATCACTAATGAAAATAAAAATAAAAATCAGAATCATGAACGTAAGAATATGAACTGAAGTCCATCGCTTCAGAAGATGATAAAAGGGCATCTCACACAAAATATGCCACTACGGTGCATTCTTCATTTCAAATTGTTCCATTCAAATGCATATCATCCAAAAATAAATAAACAATGTAATCCACATAAAAAATAATGTCTATGGGACTAGTAAAAGTATATATTCATTATTAATTTAGTCAACTCAACTATCATCACTATAAATAAAAAGGCAAAAAGGCAAAACTTTGAAGTAGAACAACAAGAAAAGTGCTGTCTATTGATCTCCAATCATCACCTGATTTCAAAGCATATGGTGGATGAAGTTGTAGATGAATTCAGAGCCAATTAGGTTAACCAATGAAGATTTTACTATCAGCAAAGGCTTGGGTAGAACTCAGAAGATTTCTTGAAACTTTCAAGGTCTTTAATAACCTGCCGAGACGCGTCTTTTGGATCTGCATCTTTCGAGTCCGTGTTGCAGCCCCACACACGAGCAGCAAGCCTACGACACTTGGGAGAAGGTTTCCTTAAATAAGTGTGGTACCAATCAATAATATCTCCCTTCTGAATATCTTTTAGTTCTTCAGCCTCCTTTACGGACAAGTCAAACATATACCTGACAAGACAAATTCACGGGAGAGAAGATGAATTTAGCCTACAGACAGTTTCACCCATGCATTTTACGTCTAAATTAGTCATGCATGTCAACAGGCTATGCCCGAAATTATTTAGGATTTTTCACTGACAAAAATGTGAATTAGATAAAGTACTTTGCTACAGTTCAAGATGTTGAAGTTATCCTCAAAGCTCAATTGCAGCTTTTCACATGTCACAAGTACTTTAAAATCACACACTTATCAAAATGGCTTGCCAATTGTATTAAGAACCTACAAAACTACATTGCATATGCTTAACGGTTGAGATTCAACCGTTTACCTCTCATGTTAGTCATTAAAGAAGCCTAAAATTTTCATGCATCAGAAGGGAAAGCAATGAATTACCTTTTGTCTGTTATTTGATCCCAGAAACGATTTGTTTCATATAAAAGAGATGGGTCTTTCTCGAGAAGCTTTCCCGTTAAACCATTTTTATAATTCTCAAATGAATCATGATCAAGCTCATTCTGCACATCAACAGATGTTCAGTCAAAAACATAACATTATAGGCTTTGGCCATGTGTATAAAAATGCTATCCAATTTTGTCCGAAGAGACCTATAGAACAAAGAAACTATAGACAATAGAAACAAAGTAGTCATCGTCGTCAACACCATCATCATAATAATAATAATTACAATAAACAACAATAATAATAATTATAATGGCGACGAGAAGGAGATTCAGTTTGTGGACGCACAAACAGATTCAAGTTTGTCATCACACCTAGTTATTTTCTACGATTGACGATAGAAAATGATCACCATAAATCTTTTAAAAGACAAATATTGTCTTAAAAATTAAAATTGGAAGAGACTAGCCATATTGACACACGCTACGCTTGTGCTGCAAAAAGAAATGCTTTCGGGTGCAGTAAATCCTCAGATCTAATCACCCTTTTGGCATTCTATGCATATATATTGAACCAATCAGTTAACTCCAAATATCCCCCAAACTACGACAAAGTGTGAATGGCCAAAATGGACAAAGTATATTGGTACGAGTATGCAAATGTGAAACTAAAAGATCTCATACAACTACAGAAATTAAAACCATCTGTAAACGTACCAACATCTCTTCTAAGCCATTTATGAAGCTCTCAATCCTCCCTTGTAAGTAGCCCGGGTTATATTCACAAGATTGAACCCGGAAACAAAATCCTATAATCCGGTATGTGACTCTTGGCCCACAGTCAACAACATAACCAAGTTGTTCCTTTGTCCTGTACCAAACAAGCAAGAAAACATGAATGCATTCTGCATCCCTAAACAGGCATGTTTGAAAATGTTTGAGTACACAAATGCACAAACACTAACACATTACACAAACGCGAGCACGAGAGAGAGAGAGAGAGAGAGAGAGAGAGAGAGAGAGAGAAGGAGGGAAGGAGGGAGAGAGAGAGAGAGAGAGTTCTTGTTCATGTCTTCTGAAGGAAACAAATAAAGGTGTATGACATCTCAACTGCAATACTTACTTGTTGATCTTCAATTAAACATGAACATACCTCAGTTGATTAAAAAGTGGTTCAGCAACTATTTCATCAAAAAGATCTATAAGAGCTTTTAACTGAATCAACTTTGTTCCTTCTTCTGGTTCAATCTGAAAATAAAGCTGCCAAAAACAAAGAAACAGATAAAATTACAATCGAGGAAAAAAGAAATATAAGTAAATTAACGTTTTCAGCAACAAGTACTAAAGTCTTGAATGTTAGCTTTTGTGTTACCTCTACCACTGAGTTTGTTTCTAGCTTATTTTTCACTCTTATATCTCTAACGAGGTCCGCACTTGGAGGAAGACACATTACAAGCTCCATGTGTCTCAGTTCAAGTGGAAGTGGCAGCACAGAGAAATTACTTTTGAATATGTCTGATATCTGAATAGCTTCCTCTTCCAGCAAATTCCCATGGCAAAGGCCCTCAATGTACAACTGCACAGACCCAGATGGGAGTGAAAAGGTATATTAAGAACTAGATATTATGCATACAGTTAAAGGAGAAGCAATATTTTTCCTAATCTAAGTTGTTCCTCAACCCACGGTTGTCTGTATATGCTGCAGAGTTATTTTACAGCTTTGGTTCTCAGTGATAGCCAGAATACCCAAATTTTAGATTGCCGTAGAAACAGCATTGGCTCCATGTGGCAGATGAACCTAACTGCTGGTTACAGAAGTCCTGAAAGGACATGAATTCAATGCACCTGATGATCTTTTTTCTTTTCATTTCCTCAAGAAAATATAATGGGAGATCTGTTTAGCTTGATTAATGCTACAAAGATTCCTTAAAAGTCTGGCATGTTTCATCAATTTGTTTAATTACAATTATTCTATTATGCCTAACGACACGGTACATATTAATTCTGGAGGAGATATTGGGAAAAGAAGTTGTCCTATCGATAGTGGATGCTCTGTTCTGCACTTGTATGCATCACCATCACATCGTCATCTTGTTATACATATTATGACGATGATGGTGATGATGCGTAAAAGACGTTGTCGATGAAAAAAAGAAAATAAATTGAGATGCAAAAAATCCAAATATTTCATGGTTCTACGAGGTAACTCCAATCCCTTGTATGTAAGATACATCACAAACCTTGGATTCTATATGACTTGGAATTCGCCAACTCTAAACTTGACCACCCTATCCCACACCTTTTGCATTTCCCTTGATCCTCAAAGTTAATTACATAATTTCTTTCTAACCACAGAAGCTAACAAATAGCATGGTCTCCCATAAAACTATATACTCTTACCAAAATATGAAAACATAAACGTCAAGTACGGATATGTGATTCCTACCTGCGAAAGAAGATCAGGAATGAAAGCCTTTAAATCGGAAAGGGAGACATCATTTAACAAGCACAACTTTTCCTCCACATCCCAGAAACTTCGACATAAAACTTGCAGTCTCAAATAGGAAGAATGGCTTAGAGGCTTCATGTTGGTGTTTCTCAAAGTCCTCTCAAGATCTTCTTTAACAACCTATCCAAAACCAACCACAAGCAAATGTAAATATTTAAAAAGAACAACTTCATACACTCATTTAAAAAAAATTACAGAAGGTTGTGAAATGAAACCATTCTTCGGAAGTTGAAAATTTGACATATTTTCCTTTCTTGGAAATGCCACAAGAACATTAAATATGCTAACCAGTACCTACTTCAATTGGCATGAAAAAAGGTTAACTTGCAAACCATTTATTTCAATCTTTTACACACTAGATTTCACCACTATATACATATGAAAAATGCATAAGGAGGAAACAGAATGTAACTCGGTAATGGTGTTCGTTACAAAATAGAACACAAATATTCAGTAGAATCAATTATTAAACCACCAAGAATGAAATAGCATCTGTTTATGACCAAATAACTCAAGATTTTATCTTCGAAACATTCAAGTTCAACACTCCTCCATCTTGAGCTAAGAGACCATGATAGAGCTGTTATTGCTTTCCATTTTCTTCATAATACACCCTTTAAGAAGATAACAATATATATCATACCCTGAAGCGATCCTCCTTTGGCGAAAAAGACTTAGCTACTGCCAGGATCTTAGACAAGAGAACTGAAAGTTTATCATTGAAACCATAGAGCTTTAACTGCAACTTGTCGCCATATAGAGAAACTGAACTCTCTAATTTTGCAACGCTGGCCTGCAACCCAAATTATTGTCTTTAAATCATTAGGTAAATCAATAGTTGCAATTTAAAGTATCAGCATCCATATGAACATGAATAGAAATATCACAACGCATGAAGCAAGGATGGACCTGATAGATAATCTCATTAAGCTCATCCTTCAGGAGCAATACAAATAATTCAGTCAACAGAGCATTCCTTATATTACTATATCCTCCTTTTAGGTTTATACGGAAATATGTGTTTGCACGAGGAAGATTAAAAGTCTTATCAAGCTTGTACCACAACTTGATCCCAGGTCCATCAAGTATACATCTTGGAGATGATGCATCCTCAGCATGACAAGATGCCCTGTCACTGCATAGGGAAAAGTCACGTGGAATGAAGTCATTCTTGGAGGGAAGATGTAAAAGGGAATCAATTTGAGGAGGATCTTCCCATTGATCCATCAGATGCAGTGGAATATCTTCCTCAACATATTTCGATGCAAACCATGGCTCATGCTGGATATCTGAAATCCATGTGAAGGACGTAGGAAGATCAACATTTTTCAGCAAATTACTGAACTTAACGAACACTGAGTTGACCATACACTTTGGAAAAATACAAGATAGGACTATAATATTACCAATGAAATTGCCTAATGCCTTAGCAGTTCATTTATATACTTCAAAAAATATGGTAATGATATTTTACAGCAGTAAGAGAAATTTTACAAATGACATGAATGTTAAGACATGGTTCAGTTGTAAGAATCAGATGAATCAATTTTTACCTTGTTGAGAAGCCAAACCATTTTTCTCAACCACATAAATTAAGACAAGTCACCAACAAAGTTGAGTAATCAACACTATTGACTATTGTAATTCCATCTAATCAAAAACAGAACCAGCCATCAACCGGACAAAAAATAAATAAATAAATAATAGATGTTGACTAAACCAGATTCTACAAATTTCTAGTACTTTAAGGCCTTGAGGTACAAGAGCTGAGGAGCGCTTCACTAAAAAGGTTAAGTGTATCATTCTCTCTCAGACATAGCAAGCTCGTCTTGTTTATTGCTTATGCAAGATGGCCACAACAACAGGTTACAAGTATTTATAACTAAGATTCATTTCGTGGGAAGAATGGGCTTGAATAAACAAGTTGACAGCTTTCATGTAGTTATATTTGCTACAAAGTAGCCTATCTTATTAATCTAAGATGCATAAATAAAGATCGCTTTATCCACTAAAAGAACAGGTAAGAAAAAGATTGCTTTATCCACTAAAAGAACAGGTAAGATATCCATCGATCTTCATACATTGCTAATACACTATTATAGATATCTGGTGAGAGAAAATACCGTTAGACTTCTCAAAAGACTTGGTTAATATGTCGACTCTCATGTTTCCAGGCCTAAAGAAACCCAAAAGATGTTTAATCATATTCTTGTCCCAGACTTCATATGCGTAGTCACCATAGATAACGTGCTCTGGAGGATAAACAAGCAGATTCCCTGTGAATCATAAACATTAGAAAGTTAAATATATATCTCACTTATCATAAGTAAGATGCAAGATACAAATCATGCAACCCTCTGAACTCAGTTTCTAATATTTATTTACTACTGATGCCATTCATGTCTCATCATGATTTGCCGTCACTTTCATTATAGAAACAAAATAGCAGACTTTAAAAAAATTATCAAAAATACCAGCAAGTTCCGCAGCATAATCATCCTGAGGTTGGTCTTCTGCAAATCTAAATTCCATATTTCCAATATCTTGGAGTTCCTTAAATATCCATTCTTTAGGAGAATCTTCACGCAGTAGTTTGAGATATTGATACACAAAGCCAATGATTTCGAAGATCTATATAATCGATAGCATGAAAAGGATGAGCATTAGCAGCTTGCAAGGCTTGAACATGTGACAAAATCCAATGAATAATAATAGTGCAAGAAGTTCATGAGCGAAATCTAATGGATTGGTGACCAAAACTCACAAAGAGAGAATTCTGACATTAAACAACTAAGGGACATATTAATTATTTAAGAAGCAACTTAGACTGACAAAATGGGTTTCAGAAAATTCCTATTTATCCTTCTATTTTGCTACTTTTGAATAATCCTGCATAGAATTGATCATCACACGTCTACTTATAATTAGGAATGTTTTCAGTAGAATCACATTAAATGTTAAAATAGAGTTATAAAGGTCATCCGCACAGAGTGGAAGAAATGGGTTGCACAAAATAAACCAATAAAAGCGTGGTGAAGCCCGGAGAAAGAAGGGTGGTGAGAACTGAGAAGGCGTGGCTAAAAAGAAGGTTGCTTTTTCTTTTCGCTTTGCTGTTATGGCTTGCAGGAATCAGGAGATGTGCAGTACATGGGAAGACGGTGTATCAGAGACGACAAGATGAAATGTACTCCAGTACCAAATGGAGAAAAATAGTCGGGGGGAAATTGCAGCTCCACATAAATAGTGGAGGACAAAGGTAAGTATTTAAATCGAATAAAAAGGTGCAAGATCTAAATACCATTCAGTGAAGATTAAATCAAGATATACACACCAACAACATATGAATTTATAAAGATAAAGATATGAATAGATATCACCAACAATCATCAGCATCCATTCACTATTTACTTGAAAACGGTAAACATCACATTTCCATTTAATATCCAATCACATTCTCGAATTTCCTTCTCATTTTCCACAACTTTCTTCAAACTATCTCCTCAAGAAATAGAGATAAATGGAATGAAATGTCAATCAATCAAATTCTTACCTTCTCCAAGCCAGAGTCGGTCAAGTATATTGACATGCCAAAGATATACGCGATAGAAGAACGGTACATCCCTTCATCACTGACACCAGCAGATATAGACGTCGCCCAACCTTTAGCTTTCAAGAAAAAATGCAAACTTCCTCTGCCCTCTGAAATCATGTTATTTCGCCCAGTCAAGAGTGGACATGAAGACTCAGGCATAAGCATGCTCATATGAATTTTAGGCACTCACAAACCAAGGGAAAGGAAAACAATGCAAGGTATATGGTCTTAATTTTGCATGTTGTGGGATGCACAAAAGAATACAATCCATCTGATTCACTGCATTCCATTCAAAGATAAGCCCATTCCATGGGATTTTGGGTGTTTTGACAGATGGATCATGGATTATTATCCATATTCTGCAAGGATGTTGGTGCAAAAGAGTCATACGATGTACACTTCCCCACTTATTTGTGTCAAATTAGCATCTTTTTTACTGTTATACATGGTTATTTCTAGAGTGAAGAAACAGATATGTTTATAATTTTCAAAAGAATGATAATTGATTATGTTGCCATATAGTGGTTGCAAGTTGTTCTTGTGTAGGAATGCACTTTTGCAAAATGAATTTTCCAAACTTAACAAAGAATTTCACCCATATCAAATTAATTGTCATGAAATTAAAAGACGGGCTCGCCAAAAGAAAAAACAATTTCTCGGTGTGCAGACACCTGAGAAGATATTTTCCAGTGTGACCAAAAAAAAAACCTCGAATCTGACTCTTTCTAACTCAAAAGAGAGATGCTATTTTCATTGACAATGAGGTTGTGTGAGTACAAGAATTTCCATAGAGTTTTCTAGTGACAATAATGTTAGCCGTGAGATTTGTATCTCAATGGTATTGTTCACAAAAGATTTTCAATGTTACCTAATAATCATAATTTGAATCCTTAATCAATGAATAATTTCCTGCAATTTCATAAATTAAAATCAGATATATTAGTTTCAAGATTGATTAAAATGGGGAATTATTCCAACAGTCCAGAGATGATCTTCCATCACTTGAGGGATGCAGCCAAAACCTATTGCAGAAGCCGTAAGACAAATGTTTCTTCTCTGTTTGTTAATTTTGAATTAACTTCGTGAGCCAAACTTGGGTACAATGGATTTACCAAATTTTGTGTTGGAAAAATTACAGTGGTTAATTTTAGAGATGGTATGATTGGTTAAATGGCACATGTTTGACAAGTATACTAAGGAAATTTAGCATGACCCACTCATTATTCTGCAGCAAGTCAAACCTTGACTGACCATTTAGTGAAGACTATGACCTAACAGAAACATGTAAAATACAGAAACAAGAACACAAGTATTCAATTTTTAACAATTACTAAAACAAAGAACACCACTCTGCACCATGCAAAAAATATCAAGCTGCCTCAGTTACTAGAACAAAAAATATCAAGCTGCCTCAGTTACTAGAACCAACACGTAAAAGCATTTACCACAATTAAGAAGCATAGACTGAAAACAAAGATAAACCAAAATATATAATAATAATAATAAAAAAAAAAAAAAAGATGCAGGAGCACAACATTATCATCATTCTTGCATTTGAGTGAAATTAACCATCATACGTAGTAGTAATAGCACCAAAAAACTATCTTACCATGTCCAAGGAGATGAGCGAGGTAGTCTTCTGCTTTCTTCTTGTAGTCTTTTCTTAGCGAAGGCAATGTCCAAGATAAATCAAGGATATGTACATCTTTAACAGCCTCTAACCAGTAAAGTTTGCCAGCTTTCCAAATAGGAATGTCTAGGCTTGTCTCTGGCTTAACCAAATGTGCTTTCTTTACACTGCTAAATAATTCAAGAACCCAACTTTCAAGGACTTCAAGAGTCTCTGCACAAGTAAAATTCGACAGATGACAGATCCAAAAGACAAGATAACAACATACCCTCACTCACATGTCTCTGTAATTTCTAGTGTTCTAGATCATTAATCATCATCAGTCAACTCGTTTCTCCAAATTTAAATTAATCTTAAGGTAGTCAAATGCAACAGAAATGTAGTACTCCAAACCCATGTAGAAAATATGTTATCATCAGCACCATCCGTAAAAATATAGTGACAGCCTATTCCCTGTAAGTACAAGATAGGACAAGGCACATTGAGATTGATAACATTCTATAAACAAGCTTCGCAGAGGGACTAAAAGTTAGCAATTTTCGCCTTTTAGACTGCAAACAGTAAGCATCATGACAAAAGTCACTAAGAGGCTACCAAGACCTAGCATTTACATTTGAGACACATATATGATGAGCATGGTGAGCCAGAAAAAAGGGGGAAATTCCAATCCCATATAATGTCATCAAAGGTGATAGACTGAACTTCCACATAAAAATCTATGGTGATAGACGATAGACTGAACTTCCACCATAAAAATCTATCATTTGCAGCCTGCGGGACTGCCACAATCATTAACCTCGTAAAGTCAGTAAATTAGAATTAGAACAATCCAAACTTTCAAGCATATTTTTCATTGAACTCTTCCCCATTTTTGTTCTCAGTTACTAATCTTCTCCTCAGTCCAGGTCCAGTTATAGTTTGTAAAGGTGAACTTTATGTTTTTTTCTACTTGAAAAACCTCATGTAGTTAAGACCATTCAATACAGGATTCTCACTTCAAATAGTTTTTTCTCTTCACATGATTCTGTGTTGCCTATCTTTTCACTCAAGTATCTTTCCATGATTATGTTGACAATAGGTTTGACACTGGAAATCGGAAAATAACTCGTCAGGTACTCAGGTGCAAAGATCTCTACCAACATTGCAGTTCACTTCCTAAAATAACTCAAGGAAAGAACCTGACACACTCAATATTGCAATTCACTTCTCAACATAACATAAAGGACAGAACCTGGAAGACACTCAGTATTCGAGTGAATTATCTCGTTCAACAAAGGACATTCGATATAAATGATAAATCGCAACCAATTCTGAAACAAATTGAATTACTAACCTCCACCTATAACAACTAGCTTCATTGATTCACCATAATAGTTGTCATGGTATAATTTCAGAATATGGTCTCTTAAATTGACTCCTTTCTCCATAGCATCTGCCAAGCTCTTCTTATTCCCTATAAAAAGTGAACTGGAATTGTAATAACGAAAGTACATAGAACGTCAAAAAAAGTGTAAGAATACTAACATACCCCAAAAGAACCGATTGAAAGGATGACCATGAGCAGAAGTATGGCACTGCAGTTGTTGCAGGCGACACAAATCGCTTTGCAAAGCCTGATTGAATTCTGTGTCCAATAATGTGATTGGAATGAACAAAAACCTCAACTAGCAAGCAAAGGCAAAATAAATCTAATGGTATATAGATATTCTTTCCTCCAAACCGAGTGGCAGGGTTAGTAGTATGGACCAACCTGAGTCTACAGCTAACACCTCCCTTTCCATGGCTTCAGCTTTTACCAAAGGAGAAACAAAAAATTGAGCAAACCTGGATTATGTGAAAACAAGAATACGCATCCTCTTAACTCTCATCCATGCATGTGAAGGGAGAGGAGCTAATAGCATCGTACAAGAATAAATTTTATGCTGATGCAGATGGACGCAAACCACTGGTATTGCAACATAAAAATCCATCACACTACATCATGTGATGATAGAAGATAAATGGTGGAACTTAGAACCGAAAGTAGTAACACAAATCTGTGAAAACAAACTTCAAAACTATACACACATACGTTTTTCACTAAAACCACGCAAATCAATGTCAGGTATAGACTCCAAAAACAATAATCATGAGGTCATAGGTTCACTTCCTATTCAAGAAAACTGAATGGACTGGAGCCCCCACAACTGGGCTAGTGGGCAGAGGTCAGGCATACATCCTGCAGAATCTAATTTTGTTTCGAAGACAGCTTTAACTGATTAATCTTGAAATACATTTGAATTGGAAACATGGTTCTAATCCTCATCCTTGGTATTATCTTGCATACAGTATTTACTTTCAATGGAAGAACACAAGAAAGCATCACTTTTGGTATGGGACCGCCACCCTCACTTCTGAAATAAAGCTTTATTCTTAAAACTATGCTACTAATAGGCAGGCCTCATACTTCCTTGGGTTGGATAATCACAATCCATGTGACAAGGTAGAAAAGCATAACTAAATGAATAAAAAAGTTAAAGAGCCTCCATCCAGTCTCTAGTTCTATAGATGAAAGGTAATGCTAGTATGCTATGACAGATACTATACATGAGAAATACATTTGCAGTTCATCCCAGCATAAAAGCCTTTGGGTTTTTTTAGGGTAAATGCAACTGGATAAATTCGCAGTAACAGAAAACCTTCATTTTATTTACCTCATCAAAGCGCCGTGAAGAAACTCCCTTTTTACTTCAAAATGGTAGCAAGTGTACTCAGTTTCTGTATATGCATTTGACGAGCCTCCATGCTTAGCCAAGTAACTATCATACTGGAGAAAGAAAGAATTGATCAGGCAAGCCAAATTTCTACATTTAAAAATTGAAGTGTCATGGATCAGATTTGATTACAAAAGTTACAATTATACCAACAAGGGGATACAGAATAAGATGTACTTCTAAATTCAACAATCTGTCATATCTTTTAGCTCAGTTTCTAATCCCTTTGTTATTTTTAATGTATGAAATCTTTTTAGATAAGGATTATTCCAAAAAAGTATGATTAGATGGAGTTGAAATGCAAGAGAAGTTTTCAGATTAATTTTCCTTGAAAAAGATTAATATTACACAAGTAGGTGTAATAAAAATATTTTAATCTATGAGAATGCTAAAATATATTATATGCACTATGCAGTGGCTAAAGAGATTTCATTTCATCTCCAATATGCCAGTTTATTCACATCCGTTCTAACACTGCTTGAAATATGGAGAGTCGTGGAAGTGAATGGGTGATTGGATATTGATTATTGTTGAGATATGATTGGACAGTTTCAATGATCTTTCATTCTTTTAGTTAGGAGCTTATTATGATTAGCGATACTGATTATTGAATTTCTTGATTCAATCCCTATAATTATGTGATATTGTTTGTACAGTTCGCTTATACAAAAGTGTAATGCTGAGAGTCTTTGTCAAGCAAACATTCACTACTATTTTCAATGCTGGAATCCCGCGCAAGTGATAAGACAATGTGAAGTAATTTGACTAGCTTTACGATTCTGAATATAGTGATAAAAGACCACAGACTTGGATTTGCTGCAATCGGATTCTGAAAGCCTTGGTAAGATCAGGGGCCAACAGGTTAGCAATTTGGAAGCCAGGAAGAAAGAGACTGTTACTCTCCCGCCAATTGTGAAACACGGCTTGAGCATATTTAATAAACAAGACAACAGGGGAACCCATGAAAACCAAAACAATATGGTCGTGCCCAAAGTCATATTCATGTTACTAGAACATGTAATTTAGATTTGGAACTCTACGCTTACATGCAGAGAATGACAAGAAAATTATATTTCCAAGACTTTTTTGGTATTCTAGCAGACCTCTTTTCCCTTGTGTATTGAAAGGCTGGGCAAATTTTATCAATGACGAAGTGCATCCAACCCTTGATTAAAACATAAAATCTAAAAATTAAAATAAAAAACCAACTAACAAACCTCATTTTCATCAGGGAACTCAGTACTCCCCATGAAGAGCATGTGCTCTGCAATAAAAAATTCAAATATGTTATGAACAAATCATCGAATCACCAATTTAGTTATGCTAAGTATTACCAATATGCAACAACTAATAGTCCTCAATTAAATAACAAGGTTAATGGATGATGTGCTTCAGTTATCCAGTTCTATTTCTTTTTATCGCTTTATCTACATAACTCAATAAGAAATAAAACTTCACTACTTTTAAAGCTTATATAACTCTGCTTTTCTCTTATCCTGCAAACCTAGTGAATGATTGCAATATTGCAATAAAAGTATTGAGCACAAATGGATGTAGAATTCATTCACAAACACAAAAAACGTATTCAGGGAAGGTATCAAAAGTTATTCACCGGAGTGCAATGAACTTATTCACCAAATGTATTAAAACACATTTGGAGTTTGAAATCACTGAGGCTACATTCTCCACGACTTTCATAAGATAAATCAGCTGGGAAACTATCTCAACAGTTCTTTATCAATTTTTACAAATGCCAAAGCTCTAGAATCACTTTCTAAAGATGCTAAATCTCTTTGCCTTAACACTTAGCGTATTCAGCCAAATTATTTAGTGACTTACCAACGTCTAGTTAATTCATTGTCCAATCATCCATCTCTTTAGAATCCATAGAGTAAATAAATGCTGCATTGCAAAGAACAAAACTAATGCAACTCAAAGAAAACATGGAAAAACCTAAAAAATGCGCCAGTCCCTGTGCCTCATAAGGGTCCGCAAAACTTCCGGTCCCCACACACATGGCCGCCGCCGCCTGCAAAACAACAAGTAAAGAACAATCAAAAGTCATCTCAGATTAAAAAATAAAATAAAAAAAAATCTCGATAACTAAATAACATTCCAAAAGTAAACACAACATTAGCATTCAGTTCTTATACGACCTTCTTTTGCACCGAGTCTTTCAATCCTTTCACCTCGTCATCTTCCTCGTCCTCTTCCTCCTCGGCGCTGTCATCATCTTCCGAATCGTCTTCTTCTTCGTCGTCTTCCTCATCTTCGTCCTCATCTTCATCTTCGCTGCATTCCATCTTTGAACTGGCCGAAGGTTCATTGGAGTAAATATCGGGATCATGAATTAGCAAAGCGCAGAGGCCATTGGCGAGCTGTATGTATCTGTAGAGACGCCGGTCAGTAGGGGACTTCACGACGACGTTATCCGATGAGAGAGCACAGCCGCCGACCGCCATTGTTAGCAGAATTAGCGGCGGTAGGTCGAGAGAGACTGTGGAGAAGGTCAATTGACTTTGTAGGTCTGGAAATGGAATTTTCAATCTGCAAGNTATTAACTGAATACGTTTTTTAAGTAAAACGTATTAAATTTATCCGTTTTACTAAAAAATACTTAATTAACATAATTAATGTAATTAAGTTAATTACATTAAATGAAAAACGTATTATTTTAATACGTTTTATAATTAAAATTATTTTATTAATTATAAAACGGATTATTTTTATACGTTTTTTTAAAAAAATTAATTTTAAAACTATTAAAAATAAATTTTCTGGCGAAAATAATTTTGGAAATATATACGTTCTGTGTAATTTCTCCCCCAAAAATTGATTTTGCCCTAATTTTGACCTAATTTTGCCCTAATTCTTCATATGAATCCGTTTTTCTCTGCAGAAAAATGCAAAATATTTTTTTGGATCCATTTCACAACTTGTTCAACAAATCACAACCTGTTCAAGGAACTAATATGAATCAATTCACCCAAAATAATCCAACATACACTATATACAAAAACTCAACGACAATAATTTATTCAAAACACAAATATGAGTATACAAAATGAAAAGAAAATTAACACATATGTTCACAAAATTCCCTGAATACAATACAAACTAATTCGAAGTGTATCGATTCGTAGGATTGCGTTGTCGTTGGCTGATCCGACGTTGTGGTCGTCGTGAAGAAAACGATGCTGTGGGCGTGACTGGTTCTTCTTCTTCTTCTTCTTCTTCTTCTTCTTCTTCTTCTTCTTCTTCTTCTTCTTCACCTGAATAAATAAATTTTTAAAAATCACAATAACGAAATAAATAAAATTATTTTTTTTGTTAAGTTAAAAATTTTCACCTTCTTCCTCTTCCTGAGGCCCGGTATCGGCAGCGGGTTGGCGGTCGCGTCGTCTTCTACCTCCACCAATGTTGGCAGCAGGTTGATGCCTCGCCCGGTGTGACTGCGTCCTCTGGGATCGGACGTAGCTCTCCTCCGTTAGAACTTGGCTCGACGACGGCCCTTGTGCGACATCTCCGCCTCCGACAGTCATAGAATTGTAGAGAAGGCTCTTGGCCTGTAAGACTGCGGCCTGCACCTCTGGAGGGAGTGTATGAAGGAGGTGGTCAACATTCGTTAACGTGTGATAAGCTCCCGCCATGGCGGTAGTCTGAAAATTAAATTCAAAGTCAATTAGAATGAAACACAAACAAAAAAAATAAAATAATAATAATAGAATAAAAAACAGAAATATATATTACTTATGTCGCACTTCCCCTGCTCGGCAAGTGGGCGAAAGCCTCTGTCCGGTTGGGCCACCGCGTACTTGGCAGGGTCACCGAGTAGTCTCACAGTGATACTGTGAAACCAATCAAGGTAACCCGCTTCAGGGTTAATGAATGACTCAAGGAAACCAATCAATGACTCCATACTGTAAAATCTAATAATATACATCAAATTATATAAAAGAATTTTATTTTCACGGCAAAATTTAAAATATGACTTACCAAACAAAATTGCCTCGTCCACATTGTCAATGTCACGCAAAGTGAGAAATTCTCTAAAAGAGAATCTATACAATGGGAATGTGCTCTTTAGTCTATAGAATTCAGATCCCCTATGGAGAATGATCCTAAATTTGCCAATAGTTGATTTGTAAATGCCTATGTTACTCTCCACTTGATAATGATTGAAGGCATAAGCTTCTCCATCCTTAAGCTCGTCAATGAAATGAGATATGTGAACGGGCCTTATAAGACCGGTTATCCTATCACCCTACAAAAAAAAAAAAAGAATTACGATAATATATACAAAAAATAAAAACACGTAAATTAATAATAATAAATTAATAATAATAGACCTTTGTGACAAACCTCATTATCATGGAAAATTAACTCAAGAACTTTTTTGGTAGAAAAATTCTCGGAAGTTCTTTGAAACATGCGAATAATACGAAGCTTGAGGAATGGCCTATTAGACCTCTTGATATCCTTGATCAAACCCCATGTTTGAGTCATTTTCTTAAGAATCACTAATCTCACTAATAAAAAATAAAAGAGTAGGGTTGTGCTGCGTGTTGATTGAATGAATAATAACTTGCAATGCATTAATCTTTTATAGTCAAAGTTACGTGGTTAAACTTGCTAAGTAGATAAATGCAAAATGTTTTGGAGATTTACTTTAATTTCCTAATGATAATCAAACTTATTTTAGTACAATTTTTTTAATAGATGCGTATGTGCATTATTTTCGTGTGAAATGGATATGGAATGATTTTGTTAAGATATATACAAATCATTGACAAAAAACGTGACCAAAATATTTTAGCGTGAGATTTAAACTTGTTTGAGATTTATTAATTTCCTAATGACAATCAGACGAAATCTTTTAAATATTTTAGTTACCAAACTTGTTTGATATTTATTATTAATTTCCTAATGATCAGACGTAATATTTCTATGCAAATATTTTAGTTATTTTAGTTAGGGAATCGGATTGATTAGACGAATTATATGCAAATAATCCGATTGTTTTAGTGCAAGTAAAGCGCGTGAGCGGGGTTATAGTGTGAAATAATTTTGGACTAATCAATATTAAGATATCTTCAAATAATTGACAAAAACACCTAACCAAATCAGTAAGTGTTTTTAAAATTTCGGATTGTACAATTAGATAAGTCCAAGTAAATTTATTAACATATAATATCAACATTGATTAGGAAGTTTGTTCCCATCCTTATCTACTAACATATTTATCTCAATAATCTATTGGATATCTACATTTATTAATCGAAAAAAATTGGACTTTTATAATATGATGAATATTTAAACGAAATTATTAAAAATCAAATTGTTTTCATTGGTTTAAATAAAATAAATATTGAGTAGAATTTTATAAGTCATAGTAAATCTATTAAAATATTTATCTATTAACATTCTTTAAAATGTTTGTTATATAAAATCTATTAACATATTTGTCTCAATATTTAACTCTTTTGATAGAAATCATAATTATTAATTATTAATAAAAAAAATGTGTTTATTTTAAACAATATACATATTTAAACAAAATTTTGTATGTCAATATTAAACTTTTTTATTAAATAGGTAATCTATTAATATATAAGAAATGTGGTAATTTTAAAATTTATGAATATATAAACGAAATTTGTAAAAATCAAAGTTTTGTTTTGATTTAAATTGGATAGATATTGTTTTAGATTGTTAGTTATATCAAATATTTCTTATATATTTATAAAATTGTCGAAATATTTGACAATCAACATTTAGGTTTTAATAATAGATTAGTTTATTGTTAGTTTTACCAAAAAATTTAGTTGATATATATAGAGATCAATTTAAAATACAATAATCATGTTTAAGCATGAAATCGAATCGAGTTGAATAATAAACGAAAACATAATAATACTCATAAAAGTCTCACAACGTAAATAAATATTATCAAATTCTAGCAATGCCATGGAATAAAATTATTAAACCCTAAACAACTCGAATTAAAATTCTAATATAAAAATTTCATAATTCCTAAGAAATCCATGCAATCATCTTCATAATCTCGGAACCCTAATTAGTGATGAGGGAAATTTCTATTGTACGTGAATACATCTGTCTTTGGATGAAGCACAAGCATCCATCTGTGGCCGGTTGTATTGATCCTCTGATTATTCAATTCAATATTGTAGTTGTGGATTGTATAAACTTTGCCTTCTTTGAACACATCTCGATATAATTCCATGCTTCGACAACGAATGATGCTATTTATGCGTGAACCCTACAATAAAAAGTTATACAATTAACGAAAATAATTAATATAATTATGTATGTTTCATAAAACAATTCGTATGCTTACATTTTCATCATGAAACAGGATTTGAATATTGTTCTTGGACTGCAGCTCGAAATTTGATTCAAGAATATTGACTACTCTTAATCTCAAATACGGTTGGGTGGCCCTATTGATGTCCGCGAGTGTACCACAGAACCGTGCCATTTCTTTTTTTTTTTTTCTGTGTATCGATGTATTATTTTTTTTTTTCTCTGTATCTCGATGTATCTGTGTGTAATTTTTTTTTTTTGCACCTTTGGAGAAGGTGATAAACCAATGTATTTATATAGGTAGGATTTATTCTACTTACCGTTTTTTTTTTTTAGATTAAGATATCTACAAATAAGTGCCATAAAAATCTGACCAAATCTTATCATCATCCCATAATAACTGCACACCATATAAAGGTGCTGAAATCACTCCTATTAAACTTGACATCCAAAATTTCGGAATTCCATGGGCGGGAGTTTGTTCAATTTTCGCCAAAAAAATGCACTGATTACATTAAAATTTTAGGCGGGAACTGAAATCTTTTTTTTCCTGATTTTCCACATGATTTTTTCAAAAAACTATCATTCCCTCTTTATATATTAATAGATATTTGTGATGGAAATTTTGTATTTAATTTGAACATAAAATTAGCAAGCGCTGAAAAACATTTTTTTAAAACACATTTGTGGAAAGTTATTAATTTGAACTTAAAATTACTAAGTGCTCAAAAACATTTTTCTGTTTGGAAAATGATGGCTATGCTTGTTTTTTAACGGTTTTGCTAAAAACACAAATTTAGTTTCTTTGATCGGAAAACATGCGCCAAAACTGATGTTTGGTTATACATTTTATTCCTCGGCTGATTGGGTGAAAAAAAAATGATAACAAAAAAACTTCATAAAGAAAAAAAATAAAAATTTTAAATGCTAACTAATAGTAATAAGTTAAGATTAGCAAAACTTCATAAATTAAAAAAAATAAAATAAAAAATTTAAATGCCAACTAATAGTAAAAAGTTTAGATTATCAAACATAATTTTACAAAACGCTAATAATAATAATAAAAAAAAAAACATTGATCAAGACAACTAATAAAAAAAAAATATTGATCAAAACAATTAATACAATCTATTGTTGAAAACAACTTACACGACTCAGTAACATTTAATTGTTGATTGCCAAACAAGATAATCTATTGAACATCGCTTAAAATTTTCTAATACCTTCTTCAATACAGCAAAAGTTTGCTCTTTTTCCACTCTCTTCATTTTTTGGTATAAAAATGGCAGAAGGGTTAAAGTGTGCAAATATATATTTCATACATGCTACATTGTCTTGTCATCCATTTAGCTCTTTTGAATAATAGATCAATTATTAAAGTTATCTGAGTGTTTTATAAAGTGGACTCTGCTCAGCTCAACTCGGCTCATTTACAGAAAACTAAAATTGACAGATACATTAGATACCCTCATTTTGTCCCATCAATCTCCCTGCAACATGCAACCATGCAAGGAAGAAAGGTCCAAAAGTTCAAAGTTTGAACCTTTTCAACAATCAGATATGAAGAACTTGAAATATCCTAAACATATCACCCAACAATACAATGGTTGCTTTTTGCATATGAAAACATACCCAACGTTCGAAAGCTGATCCCATACATTCAATCTCCAGTAAAGCATTATAAAACTCTAACATCAACACAGAAATCAAAGAGCTCGACTCCTGCACGCCATCCAAAGCAACAAAGTAAGGAGTAAGAATAAATACAGTCTGACTTGAAAGCAATATTCATTAGGATAATTTAAAGAGAACTCTTAAAACAATAATTTCTTTCCTTTGTTTCCCTTTCTTTCTATTGCCTTATCTGTTTACTGTAATAACTTTGATGACCGAATGTTATCAAATCCACCCGAGAATTGACAATTTAAAAATCCTATTTTCACTTATTGTCGATTTACTTTTCAACAAAGCATCCTGGCATCATCAGCTGGCAAGGCTGTGAAATTTACTTCACCCACTAATTCTAAGCTTCGGTAGTCAGTTAATTTAGGCTACCTCAAAAAAAGCCAACTGGAGAGAGCTTACATCAGTAAAGAATGCCAATATCCGAGATCCATGCATATTTTTCAGGTAGTTATATTCAAATAAAAATGATGAGCAAAAGATGGAACAACGTACTTTAGGTAAAAGCATTAATGTGCTTCTCATGATTTCCTGGTCGCATCACCCCTCACTGTACGGCAACAGAAGAATTATTACAGCATAATCTGTAAAAGTCGATTGGCAAAACCACAATAACAAAACCCAAAATAAAAGTAACCTGCTGTTGAAGAGCATGATTCTTCACTGTTAAGGACTCGAAGTAAGACATAAAACAAATCAGTTAAAAAGTAAAAATAAGTATTTCAGGTTGAATAAAATTGGCGAATGCAAAACCTCAGCAGGCTCAAGCTTTCTCTATTATCATCTCTAGCAAAGCGGTTAACAGGATCTTTTACATCATCATCGATTCTTACAGCTGAATACCTGCCACCATGCGGGACAAGACATTGAGTGAATGAAATATAATCACAGAATTAGTAGAAGCTATCTGCAGAAGTTCATACCTTGTATTCGAGATTTTATCAGAAAGGTCTTCAGCGGTATGATGCTTTGAATAAACAACTGGTGAAACTGATCAAAGGAGACCATGAGAAAAAAGTGCACAGCTGATATAATGAGCCATAAATTTCAGAAAAAAAAAAAAGAAAAAGAAAAAAAACACATGGAGGTATTATATTGTCATCGAATAACAATACTCACTAGAACTTAAGAGATACAGGAGATTCTTAACGAGACCAGCTTACTAATCTATGTAATATATACAAAATCTGATATTCTGATTGCTTCACCAAAGTGCAAACTGAAAACTTTAGGTGACAGTAGCAAACTAATATTAGCATTTCTGTTTACAATTCTTCCGAAGGGCATAACTTCAACTTCTCCTCTTCCCATCCTATACTCAATTTTTCCAGCAAATATTTCTGCTGAATTATAACTGAAGGTAGACTAGAAATTATAGCAGACTCAATAGACATATAGGATTATGGCTCTTTCCCGTTGTCTGATCAATTTTTTCTTTGATGCCACCAAACTATCTATTTGTGTCAATCAGCAAAGCAGAAAACATTGCAAGAAACACTGAGCAGCTCCGTATAACAACTCAGATAGATGTAACATATTAAGATAAACATTTGCATGAAAGTGTAAGCACCTCTTATATCAAAATTTTCAGTTCTTTCAGTGTTGAACCTGTACAGCCATAAAATATTATTTGTTAACAGATGCAAATCAATATTACGGATATGATAGAAAATAAACTAACATAACGCCTAACCTTCTCTTCGTTAGACTCTGGCCACCAAAATTGAAGCCCTGCTTCCATATGTCATTGTCATGAAAATAATCATCACAAGGAACACTGCCTTGATCATCCCAGTTCTTGCAGAATATTTCATGTTCTCCCAGGTCATCAATACTGTCTTCTAAGAAGCTAGGACCTACAGAATAAAACAATGAATAGAGAGTACTAAACCTTATTGAAAGCAAAACAAACAGAAACCTGTGGGGTCAATGAAGAAAGTCATACATATGGGAGCTTATTATTTGGAAGTAAGGAATAACACAACACAAGCCAGAGAGAGAGAGAGAGCATATCAAAGCCGTAATCTTCAAGAAGGTTTCGAGTAAACAAAATGAAAATGCCACTTAACTGTTGGCCAATAAAAAAGCTAATCAAATTCACATCTATTCCATCTTTGGCAACTTGAGAAGTTCATCGCATTAATATAGATGGTAAATATCTGAATCAAGTATTAGCATCTGATTTTACTCTGTGTTTCTCCTAAATAGCAATCTTACACAGTATGAGAACACAAAACTGATCTATGGGTGCATTTTTTAAACAAAAGAATTAAGATAGTAAAGAAAAGGAGCAATAATTTGCTTCCATGTAATTGGTCACTCCCACTGAACTTGAATATATGAAGTTAGATTCCAATAGATGCTCAGTGGAACCTTTTGGGGAAGTCCCTTTCAGCTTATACGAACCCATAAGTACAGAAAGTTCAACCCAGATGTACAGTAAGTTCAAGTCAGATGTTAACACTTAACACTGCATGAGTTCCCATCTAACAATTAGTCTAAGACTATTCCAGAAAACCACAGCAGCCTGTCTAAATTAGTAATGAGAGATGAAATTTGATGCACTAGGCAATTTCATAGATTTATATTGAGTTCTTCCCAGACCCTCAAAACAAGTGTTTCCAATCAATATTTAGTTCAAAATCTTCATCAGTTTCCCCCAAAATCACACAAACTCTAGTGGTTGGACGAGAGTAAGCTGATAATTTCCAGCCATGCTTGAACCATTCAACATGGTTATTTAACCACTCAATGCATGTTTAAATTTTTGTTAACTTGATAAACTCATAAGCCACTTAGTAAGCTAAATAAAGTCGAAATTGTAACTGATGACGAAGATGGGAAATAATAATACTACCATTCCATAGGTTTCTTCCACTGTCTCGAATGTTGTAAATGAGTTCATCATTGTCAAAAGCACCCTGAGAGTTACTACCGTCCCAGTTTAGTGGAGAGGAACATCTGTGATTTGAGAACACCAGGTTTGGATCACCAATGATATTCATCATGTCCTTGGAGCAGAAAGTCTGATCTATTGAACTGTAATATGGCGAAATATCAAAATCCTGCACCACAATATTCTATAGTTTGTCATTTGATTGTTTGAGAAATTCAATGGAGCTCAGAGATAAAAATGGAAAGAATTGTAGGCATAATCAGTAATGTATTTCTAAGGAACTATGTTTTCATCCATTTATAGATGATGATCCTGCCAGATAAGTGAGCCAGAATGGTTAGAACTTTGAAGTAATAAACCAAACTGTTGGAACAAATACCAGAACTTTTCACTTTTCAGAGTTCTAGCTCAACCTTCAATTCTCACTTTTTCTTTTTATATTTGTTGAAATTAACTTCTGGCAATTTTTTACTCTAAATTTAATTTTTTTTCTCAAATTTCTATGCTGATTTTCATTATTTTGTTAAAGAATTCCTTTTGCAATTAAACACTGTGACCTTCAATCTTTTCTCAAAAATTGCTCCAACAACTTTTAAAAAGTGACGAATTCCTAAAGCCAATTTCATTTAAACTTTCCAATGGTTGCAATCTAGAGTTTGTATAGCAACAATTCCTCCATGTTTCTCCATGAGAAGCGAAATCATAGATAATCATTTCTAACATAAAAATAGTAAAAATGTTATGTTCTAAATACTACTACACTACAGGTTATGTCAGAGGATTTAATTTCCAGTCAAAACTGCTCTGCAACCAGGACATAAAGTTGCCAAACTCAATTGATTCATCAATTGCTGGATGCTGTTTTTATATAAGATAATAATTTCCTGTCCACTATAATGCCTAAAAAAGATATGATGGAACACAACTTGTGTGAATTTTGTGAAACTCAAGAAACACGGCAAAGGCTCTTACCACTTGGGACTCAGGGTCATGAAAGCCATAATTAGTGTGTTTGGATGTTGAAGGTTGTCGCCTTGCTTTTTTTGGGGGAGACAAATAATTTGGAAATGGTCTGTCGTAATGTAAGAAGAGAGCAATGAGAAAATGGATCCTACTTTTCCCTACGTATATAGGAAACAGAGCATTTTGTCTTTTTTATTTCCAGAATGTTTCGGGAAATGCATGCCAATACATGGTCAACGGCCAATCTTGACTCATTCGCAAATTCATTCACTATGTACATCCACTTATATATATTATACATATGTATGTCCACTGAACTTACCTGCCATGTATATTTGGTGACTGTACCGGAGTTTCTGTTTCCACTTTCCCTAAACCTGTAATGTAAAAGTCGTCTCTCAACACAAGATCCATTCTCAAGTATAATAGGCTTCAATTAAATTGTAAAGCCTAAAAACTTATGAAGCTAGAAGGGAATTAAATTTTATATGCAATAACACAAGTGCCAGAGTTTCTAGAGTTTCAAATGAGAATCTAATCAAATCACAAAGGAGCTAAGAGAGAGAGAGAAAAAAAGGTACGAGATGATATTTCTACCAATATTATGTCCCCATATGCGTGACTGAGAAAGTAAGAATACTCAGATTATTAATCAAATCAATGGAACAAAACCTTCAACTGAAAATGAAACATGAGCTTCCTGCGCATGAGCTGACTTTTTTTCTGCTTTAGTATTTGGTCTGCTGTCACTTAGCAAATCAATGACAGATATCTCTGCTGAAATAGAGCAAGATAGACGAATAAATAACTAAATGGTCAGAATTGATTTAAACAAAGTGGCACCCAACTAGGGAGGTAAAAAAATGCAAGTAATAAAAATGATTCAGTAGCCTGGCCATAGCACTTCTGAACTTTAGGAACAAAATAATATTTTAAAGAACAAAGAGAACCCCACAAATCAATGTTGGTACTCACAGAGAGTCGCAGACAACTTGAAAGGATCAAGTTTGTTCTCGTTTCCGAGTAAATTTTCATTGTCGTCCTGCAAATGAGTTGGAACCCTGCAATGCTAAGGCTATAAGAAGTCCTCTGATATCAGGTAAGTCTCCTTTAGACAAGACTTGTAATCACGCAAGAACAATTGACTGAAGTGCAGAATACACATATACCTCTTCCATAAATTTGAGTTTACTTACATATAAAAATTGCATATTAATAAAGTTGTTCATTTGTCCTCAATCTCTTTGTTGGTCTTTGAGCTCTTAGTTTAATTAAAAGACATCACATTATGGACTCCAAATACCCACATTGAATAAACCTTACTTTTGTGAATATACAGCCTCTGTGCCATAGCTTGATGGAGTTCCTGAAACAAATAGAGTATGGTGCCTCGCACATGTCAACATTCAATAGATACCATTTGAAGCAGAAAGTGGATGGTCTAATAAAAAAATGATTAAGGACAGTCATACCTTCTTCTTTGATTTGAACTTGATCCACAGAAAGGTCTTCAGCATCAAGAGTAACTTGATAAGGTAGTCTGTATTGATGGTCTGAAGTGAAATCACAATCCTCAGAGTTATCCCCAGCTTCTGGATAAAAAAATCAATTAGAAATTTTAATGGATTCTGTGCTAAAGGATAACGGAATTAAGTCTCACTCGAATTTCTAAACTACTTTTTATATTGCCTGCATTGACGAAATAAAATAGAAAGTTGTGTGGTTTCAACTCAGCACATACTATAGACATAGAGGTCGAGCATATTACATCAACAACTTGACACATACATATAAGATGCAATGAGTACAATTTGAGTTGGTACGGAAATGGGATCTCCAATAGCTGGAGACAGAAGATTCATATGAGAAAACATAAGTAAACGGGCCTCCGCTTGAGACATAAGTCGACAAGGAAATTAGAACTTGAAATAAAGCACTTAANACAAGGAAAATTGCCAAACTCACACAACAATCACCTCTATATACCTTCATCTTGAATCAAGAACACACAGAACATGTAATGGTAGATGATTTAGCAATTAGTTTGTTATTGAGAGTAGAAGGAAAAATATCATTTAAGCATTAGTGTATCTAGAACTTACTAATACAGAACGGTCCAGGCCTTATTCATGTAGGTACATGTTTAAACTAGCAAAAGTTGCAAAATAATAGATACATCTGCAAGTGCTGAGCTGAAAGGAATAGATGTGTGCAATAGAAATGAATGATGAGAGTTGGTCTATTTGACTCATTTAACTTAATTTTGACTCAGAAGCACGAGCTTACTAAATTTCTAGCTTAAATAAAATTAAAATCAACTGATGAGGATGTAGCAAAAGTTATCTACAATTTCATTATGTTCAAATCTGACCAAGTGGACCAGCTGGCTGCATGTATATTTAGTACATGTTTATACAATACAATATTATGTTAACTGTATGAAGAATAATAAGGAAATTCATCTCGGGGAACCCCCATACCCCTGGGTGAATAAGAGTATCTAAGAAACTTTTGGCTTTTTCAAATTTCAAAAAATTGAAAATTACCATTGACGCGACTGGCTGCGAGTTCTTGAGCTACAGCTGATACATTTGCCAGGCTAAGTACATCAAGCGATCTATTATTTTCTGTGTATGAGTGTCTTCCATCAGCATAGCTCTCAAAGCCAGTTCTGTGGTGCTGGTGATGTCGTTTCCTTTGCTCAAAATACTGCTTTTGCCTGGATTCCTTGGCAAGTAAAATTAGCCCCTTCTCATATTAAAAATGACAACTGACCCAAAGATAGGGATAAAGAGTTGAGCAAAGTCATCTGAGGACAAAGTAGAAGTATGTTTTATACCTTTTATGAGTTGATGTTCTTGACTGCGAGTGACCATCCCCATCCCCAGTGCAATGAAATGCAATGACGTGCAAAACATAAAACACAAGATGCTTTTACATTCAAATAAGAAAATTATGAAACTGAAACAGTTCCAAGTATTAAGAATGGAATGGGATAAATGATCATGATGCCAACTTTAGAAATCAAAATAACAGAGAATAACAGACAAAGACATCTTTCTGTATGATTTTTTTTTCCTATAAGAGGGAGGGGCTTCAAAATAAAAAATAAATGCATCAATAATTACTTCAGTACCACAAATAGATGAACATTTCCGGGAGGAAAAAGAAATGAACACTCAAAAACGTCTTCTATTATAAACTGGTGGATGCTCTCTCACATGGATAGTTTAAGGTGGAAGGAAGTTAACGCATAACATACTGTTGTCACTTTCCGCCTTGATCCACCCATCCATTGTAACATTGTGTAAACACAACATCCACTACAAAAATAATGAGAGAAGCCATAAGAGAACAGATATGATGGACCCCACTCAAGTTATAAAGGAAAAATTTCTAAAGGAAACCATGTTCTGAAAAAATATTTAAATTGAGTGGAGTTTTTAGATTTTTATTAGATTTTTATTTTATTTAATTCAAAAGAACAAATTTATAAAGGAAAAATTTCTGAAAAACCCCACTCAAGTTATCAACATAAAACAAAAGAGACAACTATAGCAACAAAAATGTGGACCAGTTGTGCTTGTTCATAAAAATCCTCTTAGTATCAACATATGGTTNAGACAAAAGAAGAGCCCAATGTTCAATCTCGATTACTTATCAATCATCAGTCATAATTCATATCAACTACATAGTAATATTAATTTTTTCTTCTCATCACATACAATCACTGTAACCAAACCATGTTCTCAAAATTGATTTTTATTCAAAGAGCGAAAACATATAAATTCTGAATGGAAAGCCAAGAACTCGCTCTAATCGTTGTTCTTGTTGCAAACCGTTTATCATAATGTTAAAAATTAAAAAGTAGCATATAAAATAAGAAAAAAGATATTCACAGATGACAATGGCGGATCCAGGATTTTAAAATTGAGGGTTCTACAGATTTTTGTAAATGAGGGGAAAAGAAAAGGGCATGCACATAAGAATGCCCAATGATATTTAAAATGATACTACTGGAAAATGTCTCCAACTCCATTTCACAGTTCCAAGTAATATGCTCATATTAATTCTGATCAATCTCCGTATCTACAATAGCTCAATGAAACACAATACAGCCGCCAAATAATATAGATAGAAAACCAGATGAAGTAAGTAATTACAAGCTGTCAAACAGTTTCGAGAAAACTAGCTAACCAGCCAAAAACATACAACGCCAATCAAATGCTTAGTTTATCTGTATTTTGCTAACCTAAGAAAGTTAGTTACATTTTTCAGCTCAAAAACAACAAAACCGTGTCTAAATTCTAATACAAACACACAAAACACGGACAAAACACCACCAAGGAGGAAAACGAAGAACGGATAAAATTTGTACCCATCAATTTTGGCAGGTTAAGGTTGCAACAAAACACATGAGAAAATGCAAGTATTTTCTCTAAAACTAATTACAGCAACAGGTTCGCTTGCATATATATCATACTGAATGACCATAATTCCGTCACAAAATTCGCGAACGAAATCAGGTTGCAGTTTCCGATTGGTCTTTGTTCGGATAAAATGGATGCAAAAGCTGATTCAAAACTCAGAGGTCAATGCAAGAGGGGTTCAAGTTCCAATAGAAAGGAAAAAACGATAGAAAACAAAAGAAATTAACACCGAATTTGTAGATGAATCTACAGCAGCGGTAAGTGAGGTGACCGTCCAGTGGCGGCGGCGGCAAGGATAGCTGTTACAGCGGCGGTGTCTGTTCTGTCGTTCGGGGACAGATGAGAAAACCAGGCTCGTTTTGAACTTCCTTCAACTTTTTGATTTTCATAAAATAATGTTATGCGAGCCAGTTTTAAGCGCCAAATTAGACCACTTTCACATAAAACTAGCTGAAGTATTTATCAATGAGTAATGCTATTTTGCACAGGGACTAATGCTAGTTTTATATTAACTTTGATGTACATAGTATTAAAAAATTCATATTATATAATTACGAAAATATATATAGATAGGATAATAATTGTATTTGATATCTATTATTTTGAAAATTATATGCATGTAGTATTCAACATTTTATTAGTTTTTTGGTTTACAATTGTAATATTCAACACACATAAATTCCAACAACAAAACATATACACTTATGTTATATGAACTTAATTAATTTATTTAATAAAATAAATATTTAAACAAATATATCAATATTCAATTAATCTACATGAAAAAAAATTATGAGTGTGTGTTGATTGTTGATTCAACGATAATTAAAAAAAAATCTCGATAACAACAATACAATCACTGATAGGATTGAATCGAATGGTCCCGGTTTCCCATATGCATGAACATTAGTTGAAGAAAATACAAATTATGAGACTCGGTAGTCATGTGTTGCATTGCAAAGTGTTTTTTTTTTTTTTTTTTGAGTACAAAGAGGGAGGCAAAAGCCTTAGACTACGATGTTACGAGGATGGGCTACGCCTAGAACATCATGTTCAAGCCACGGTTTCACCCTCATGGGAGGGTCATCAAATATATGGAGGCCACCCGGCATGGTCGATGCTAGAGATGCAAGGTAATCCGCTGCAAAATTAACTTCACGGTGAATATGTCGAACCCCAATATTTCATTCTCTTCCTAAGAGCTCCTGAATACCCTTAATGATGCTGCTATGAATACCAGCATGCTCACCATTGTGCATTACCAAATCTACGACGTTCTTACTATCCACTTCCGCAATCACAATACGGTGCCCCATCCTCCACGCCAAGCTTAAGCCTTGGAATAGCCCCCATAACTCCGCTCCCACGACCGAACAAAATCCGATATTCATCGCAAACCCGGATACCCATCGACCATTTTCATCCCGTAGAAGACCTCCCGTCGAGGCTATACTAGACTGACGATTGAAGGCACCATCGGAGTTCAATTTAATGCAGCCCGCCGTCGGTTTAGACCACGAGAGCCATCTTAGTTCTCTGCATGAAGTCGCTGCACCTATGCTCTTCGCATGCAATAAAGCTGCCATACACCCTTCAACTTGACTGTTAATTGCAGCCACACGCCTAAAAATGTTCAGCCCGGTTTTCTCGAAAATAAAAGAATTCCGACCACGCCATATGTTCCAGAATGTGGTCCCAAACATGCAGGCCCAATTCTCCACTTGAATATTCAAATTATTGCGGATATTTAAGCGCAGCCATTCGCGAAGCTCTAGGGTGAAGAAAGGGGCCTGAGACTGAAGTGGGATTAGCCGGCGCCATATTTGGTCCGCATGGCGGCAGTCACAGAGGCAGTGCAATGCCGTCTCGCGAGCGGCACCGCACAAAACACAAGTGGCACTCTCTGCTAGATGCCGTTGAAAACGTGCGTCATTGGGTTAGCAATCGGTCTTTAACCAGCAGCCACATGAACTGACGAATTCTTTAGGGACCCGACCAGCTTCAAATGTCTTTCCATATGCGCCCATTGCTCTCGAGCTGTGACCCCGCCAAAAATTCATATGTCGATCTGGTGGTGAAACGACCATCCCCCCACCACCCCCAATACATAATGTCGTCGCCCATGTCCGGGGAAGGAGGTAGGGTGGCTGCAATGCGCAGGAGCATCGTTGCGGGCAGTAGTGGTTGGAAGAGATCCCAACGCCAAGCCCCGGCACCGTCAACGAATCTATCCAATGTCCAGGTGAGGAGATCTTCTGGTACCGGCTGACGGGCTTCGTGGAGTAGGATTGTGGAATTCATAAGCCATCAGTCCGTCCAAAAGTGTATTCGTTGGCCATTGTGAACTGACCAGCGGATCCCGTCAACAAGTGGTCCCCAAACTCGCACGATAGCACGAATAACAGTCGAACCACGTGTAACTTTAAGAGTATCAGAATTATTGGCCAGGTCGAGGCCATACTTCGCTGTTACTACTCGAACCCATAGCGCATTGGGGGAGGTTAACAAACCCCATCCTAGCTTCATCAAAAGTGACTTGTTCATCGTCCGTTGGTCTTTAAAACCTAACCCTCCTACCGTCTTAGGCCGACACAGGTCCTCCCATCTCACCAAATTGATTTTCTTCTGAGCTTCCATGCTTCCCCACAATAATCGTCGACACCTCCTGTCGATACTAGCACAAACCGAGAAGGGCAGCCACGCGGTTTGCATTGAGTAGAATGGCGAGGTATTCACCACCGATTGAATCAAAGTGGTCCTACCCGCCAGTGACAGTGACGAGCTTTTCCATCCAGCGAGGCGTGTTTCGGTCTTGTGCAATATATTAGCGTAGGTCTCATGGTTAACTCTTCCGTGAATGATTGGCATTCCTAGATATTTCCCCAGATTGTCAACACGTTCATAGCCCAGCGAGCAGGTCAAGTCCTGGGCAACATCGGTAAGAACATTTTTCGAGAAGAAAATTTTTGTTTTCGGCATACTTACTTTAGGCCTGAGTTACGACATAACTCATCTAGGACTTCCGTTAAACAAACGGCTTGGGCAGTCGTTGCCTCGGTAAAAAGAAGTAGGTCATCTGCGAACATCAAGTATGGTATCTGTACTTTACCCCGGCCTAGAGAAATCGGCTTCCACTTGCCATCGCGAACATACCGGTTGATGGTCAAGGCTAGTCGTTCCATACATAGAACAAAGAGGTAAGGGGAGATCGGATCGCCTTGCCGGACCCCCCGAGACGGGGTGAACTCCTCACTGGGGCTTCCATTCCAAGATAATTGCATGGTAGCGGAGGTTACACAGGTCATAATGCTCGTCACAAATGCGCGGGGAAAGCCAGCTAAAGTGAGCGTACTCTCCGAAAATTCCCAGCTCAAATAATCATAAGCTTTCTCGAGATCTACCTTTACGACCATGTAGCCCTTCCTACCCGTCAAATTTCGCATGGAGTAAATGAGTTCTTGGGCAATGACTATGTTGTCGGTGATGTGTCTGCCTAGGATAAAACTAACCTGAGCCGGACCAATCAAGCGCGGCATTAGTCTTTTCATCCTGGTTGTGAGAACCTTAGTAATGATTTTGTACAGCACGTTCAGGAGGCTTATCGGTAGGAACTCTTTGATTGTGCTTGGGTGATCTACTTTGGGAATAAGCACGATTAAAGTTTTGTTCAACTGTGGAGGCATAGCTCCCCCGTGCAAGACTTGACGGACTATATTACAGACTGATCTCCCCACGATGGCCCAATTTTTTTTGGAAAAAGAGCGCATGGAGGCCATCCAAGCCGGGGGCCTTTAGGGGCTGCATAGAGCTAAGGGCCTGAAAGATCTCGAATTCTGGAACATCCCTAGTTAAACGTGTCCATTCTTCCGTCGCCACCACCGGGAAGGCCACCGATTTCTGCCTGCAGCTGATTGGAGAAGGGCCCGCAGTATATATTTTTGTGAAGAATTTAGTTGCTAAATGCCGCAAGGCGGTTTGGTCAACGATCATGTCCCCCTCGTCACTCCGCAAAGTTGTGATCTTGTTCCGACGTCTACGATGCTTTACCGAATAGTAGAAAAAAGCCGTGTTACGATCCCCAAATAAAGTCCAGTCCCTGTGGGATTTTTGCAACATAAGCAACTCTTCTTAGGCTAGTACTTCCTCAAGCTCCGCACTCAGATCTCTTTCTATCTTGAGAAGTCGATTTGTGACATAAGTCTGTAGGTGGCGTTGGACACCCCCTAGTCGAGCCAACAGTCGTTTTTTCCGAAGGAAAATGTTCCCAAAGACTTGGAAATTCCACTGCTTTGCTTCTAAGGAGAAATTATTAGCAACCGATATGTAGTCAGGGGAGTTCCACGCTTTCTCGACCAACTCCCCGAACTTGTCGTGCAAGAGCCACGATGCCATAAACTTGAAGGGCTTCGGACCCCTCGACACGTCCTCCGGGCGGCTGCCATAATGGAGCATAAGAGGAATATGGTCAGATTGGTGTCGCGGTATGTGGGAGACAATCGCCGAGTCGAAACTATCCATCCATTGTTCATTTGCAATGACTCGGTCTAACTTTTTCTCCATTTGTGGACCAAACCAAGTGTATTGGAAGCCGTCAGTCTTGACTTCTAGAAAACTATTCACAAAACAAAAGTCGAAAAAGCTCGTATCAAAAGTGCGACCCCGCGCTCCACCTCTTTGTTCTTTCGGGCTCAAAGTGCAGTTAAAGTCTCCACCAAGGACCCATGGGGATTTAATACCACTCACCAGCATGTCAAGGGCATCCCATAGATCTATCCGGCCTCTTGGGTTTGGGCTTGCGTACACGAACGTGATTAGAGACTCCCAGGACTCGGTCTTTACCAATGCGTGCACAAATTGCATGCAGCACTTAATAACTGTTAACTCTACTTTATCGTTCCACAAGATCCAAATGCCGCCCGAGAAGCCAAGGGCCTCCACACGAAAAGAGCGTTCATAGCCGCTACGTTTCACGAACCTATCTGCCTTCTTGCCACTCACGCGTGGTTCAAAAAGTGCAACAATATCAGGTTTATAGCTAGCCTTAAGGGCAGAAAAGGTCTGGCTGAAAGTCGACGAGCCAGCACCTCTAACATTCCAGAACATAACACTCATTGATGGAAACTGAGGAGAGGTATTCTATCCACTAGCAAGCACGAAAAACTACAGAGTTATCTGGTGTCTCCGTGACCATGGTATCTTCATGTACGTCTTCTAGTCCCGGTGAGGTTTGGTGAAGAACGTGTGGACCCTCAACCATTATGGTGTCTCCCGGATCATGTGCAATAGGTCCCCCTAATGCCACCTGGTTATCCGTAATCCGTACTGCCGTGTGACAAGTTGGGTCAAGGCCTGAGGTAGCCGGAACTACATGGGTCTTTTCTTTAAGGGCCAAGTACACCATTTCCGTTCGCGCGTCAACGTGTCTTGGTCCAGTACTATTCATCTGTCCCTTCTCAATATGACCCGAGATTGTCCCCGCTTGCTTGTTCCCTGCCGTTCTTAATGGACTAGCCATTCCCTTCGGGTTCCTCTCCGTCACACCCATTGGGTTGGGAATCTCTAATCCGTCAGAACATTTCTCGCGGCCCGGCCCGGTCTCCATTAGGTCCCGTGTGTCCCCTATCTTTGCTTTTCCCCTATCCTTCTTAAAGTCAGAGATGGGTCTTCAATTCTCTTTTACGCCCCTCTGAGTCGCCCCCTTTTTTGTGGAGAATACCATGCTTGTCGTGCTATCCTCTTGTATGTTCCCTAGAGTGTCAAAACGTGTGCCCGCAGCAAAGGATACCCATGTTGTTTGGGAGCCACGTCTTTAGCTCTTGAGTTTTTCCTCCCCCCAGCACGTCTTCCCATTTGCGCCTGCATCCACGGGCCAAAGCTCGAAACATTTTGAGGGTCGGGTTCTGCTACATCGGCTTTATCCTTTGTCGGGCATGTCTCCTCTCCCGGAGCGCTAGCAGCTTTGGAGGCGTGTGGTTCAGGCCGCTCCGGACAACTCCCGATTTGGTGGCCATAGCGCCCACAATGGTAGCAGATTGTCATGTACCATATTATGGAGATAAATCGGGTAGGGTGAAGTGAAGGGCCTCTGCTTTATATATATCCGGGCTTGATTAATATTATGTTATTTTAGGTTTATTAGTAGTTTTATTTTGGGCTTTGATATTAGTAGATATAATTGGGCCTATTATGAGATGTAGTAGTTACTAAGTGGGTTGATGTTATTAGGCTTAATTAGAACCCATGAGTGGTTATTAATAGGTGGAAATAGGGGAAATGAAGTAAGATTTGGATGCCAAAAATTATCTCTCACTCTCTCAATTTCTCTCTCCTCCCCTCACGTGTTCTATCCTTTCTCCCTCCCCATTTCTGCAACTCCTTCTCAACAAAATACAGAAAATCATAAAAAAAAATACAAAAATCAATATAACAATTTCCAGAAAAATCGAGTTCATAACAATTGGTATCAGAAAAATCGAGTTCATAACAATCGAGTTCATAACAATTTACAGAGCGGTCGATCCTCGGAAGATGGCCGATGAATTCATGCTCGATTGTTTGGAGCTGCAACAAAAACATATGGAGCAAAAATTAATGGTGGAAATCCAAAAAAAAGAGGTTAGCCATTCGAAGATACAAAGCCAAATTGATGGGTTCAAATCATTAAATCAAAAATTGGATCAAGCCATTCAGGTAGCTGAATCCATTCAACAACTTATTTTCAATCTTCAAAACAAAAATCAGAAAAAAGCAAAACCAACCCAAATCCTGAATCTCCCAGCTCAATCGTACCCAACACAAAACCTTGCCCAATTAACCTCCACTCCAAACCCTCCAAACTCTCAGCCATATTTTCATGAAATTCAGGAGAAAAATCCAAGACCAACTTCAAGTGAAAATCAACAACAAAACACCACAACCCAAAAACCAAAAAATCTAGAATCACATCCCATTTTTCACGAAATTCATGAGGAAAAAACTGAAGAACATGGAACTTGGAAGCTCAGTGTTGATTGAAAAACCGATCGAAATTTCAAAGCAAAAGCCAATACGTGTGGCTGTGAGCGAGCATACATACCTGGAAACGATACCACAAGTCGATGAATCTGTTGAGGACTTAGATATGGCTGCAGTGGATAACAAAACACCAAAAGATGGAGAGCTCGATGAAGTACTCGATCCTCCTGGTGAAGGTGAACTAAAGCTGCTGGGACTGTTCCAAGTGAGAACGGTAACATTGAGATGGACGTCCTTCGTGATAGATCGTGGAAGACGAGCACGAGGTGAGGGCTGTGTGGAGAAGACGAGGGGCGGCAGCCTCAAAAAGGCTTGGTCTCGCCAGCCTCCAAAACATGTTGGTAGGCGTAGATCTCGTTACCGACGGTCCGATACTGAGAAGAGTCACAACGGAGGTCGAGAGAAGGCTCGGATCCATCAAATTTCCAGGCGTGGTAGGCGGTCGGAAGCTTGGGCTCGCCGGATGTGGAAACGCCGCAGTGGATCAGGAATTCCAACACAAAACATGCATGTATTCCGAGGCTACGGAGGGGCTGTGAACCAAGGCCAACGGAGGGAAGCTTGGTCTCGCCGGATTTCGAAAAAATAGCGGCCGGTCGATTGGTCTCGTCGGGTTGCCAAAACGCGAAGGTCACCGGCGTTTGATTTTGAAGGGTCGAGAATTATTTCCGTGGCCGTGGATGATTCTGGAAGTCGAAAAGGGGTTGGAATTTCGGCTGAAAAAATACTGATGATTTATGGGCCAACTTCACATGGGCCTGTGTCATTTTATTTGGTTGTGGCTCATTCTGTGGCATTTGGACTGAGTTCAAGCATGATAGGCTTGGTGCCTTGTCATTTAGGCTTGCAAAATGGCAGCATCAAGAAGAAGTGGATTTTTGCTGGACTACCTTATCTGAATTTAGGCTGGGTTGTTGCATTTAGGAGGCTTAAAAACTGGGCCAATTATTGTCAAGTAATATGGATTACTTTTGAGCTGCTACAAAAAGATTTTACTTTCGGGCCTTTGAAGATTTGGAAAGGGGAGCTACCGGATGCAATATCCACATTTTCAACGTATGAGTCTCGGGGACGAACTCTTTCGAGAAGGGAGTATTGTCATGTACCAAATTATGGAGATAAATCGGGTAGGGTGAAGTGAAGGGCCTCTGCTTTATATATATCCGGGCTTGATTAATATTATGTTATTTTAGGTTTATTAGTAGTTTTATTTTGGGCTTTGATATTAGTAGATATAATTGGGCCTATTATGAGATGTAGTAGTTACTAAGTGGGTTGATGTTATTAGGCTTAATTAGAACCCATGAGTGGTTATTAATAGGTGGAAATAGGAGAAATGAAGTAAGATTTGGATGCCAAAAATTATCTCTCACTCTCTCAATTTCTTTCTCCTCCCCTCACGTGTTCTATCCTTTCTCCCTCCCCATTTCTGCAACTCCTTCTCAACAAAATACAGAAAATCATAAAAAAAAAATACAAAAATCAATATAACAATTTCCAGAAAAATCGAGTTCATAACATAGATGTCAGGAAGGCTTTCATACTCACCCTCTGTTGTTTGCCTTAAATAGTAAAACTTGCACACAGCGGTTTTGTCAGATCAAGGAGGACTACAATCCTCGCAAACTTGCCCTGTGTTTGCATGGCGGTTTGATAATCTAGTTTGACTACTTTCCCAACAATTTGACCAATGGAACGGAATATTTTCTTGTGGTATAGGTGTACCAGCATACCCGGCAAACGAATCCACGCAACGGTGTTGGTGATTTTAGCCACGTTCTTATCAAAGTGTTCAGTCCAAGGTTGGACGTGCAAATAGTGCTTACTAATAACCCATGGTCCATCAACTAGAGCTTTCAATGCATTCTCCTTGTTGTTGAACTTGATATAAAAGTAACCATTTTCTAGATCCACCATTGGGCAGTCAGATTTGTCCTGGTTCCCTAAGCTGCCTAGTCGAACTCTTTCTCTGGGTTCGGTCTAGCTCTTTTCCGAGTTCCTGCTTTTAGGTAGGCTGAATGAACGACCATAGGGTGACCAGTCTCCGGTACAATATCGGCATACTCATCGTCATCCCCAATAGTTTGATGACAACCACATTGTAATCAGGGATTCCTTGAAAGATGTTGAGATTTGAATGTCTAGTTTAGGCCGACTAAAATCTACGGTAACATCTGTATCCTCTCCTGTTACCGTGTCCCGGAAGCTAACCCTAAGACCCGCTGAAAGGGCGTTAGGTGCGGCAGAGGGCGTGCTGGTTCCAGCGGTAAAGGTGTGTGGTGCGGCAGAGTGCGTACCATCGACCGTTGTATTAAGGGGAATCTGAGGGTTAACCCTAGGTTGGGGTTGTTCCAATGGATCCTCTATTCTACTTAGGGTTCGTGGCTTCTTAGAAGATCTCGAGTGTGACAACGACGGCGGATTGGATTTCAACAAGTCCGGAAAATCCTCGTGAATCTGAGTCGAAGAGCCGTCGCCGGGTTCTGGCTGCATCGAGGGGTCATCAAGTGCATTCGGATTTTCGTCGTCCATTTGGCCTTTTTTACCTGCTTTGTAATAATTTATTAGGCTTGGT